GAAGGCATAGTGTTAGGGCATTTAATTTCCAAAAGAGGCATTGAAGTTGATAAAGCAAAGTTAGAGGTAATTGAGAAGTTACCTGAACCAACAACTATCAAAGGGATTAGAAGTTTTCTTGGASATGCAGGTTTTTATAGGAGGTTTATTAAAGATTTCTCAAAAATATCAAAACCTCTTTGTTCATTATTACAGCATGACCATATTTTCAATTTTAATGATGATTGTAAAAAAGCTTTCAACATTTTAAAAGAAGCATTGGTCACTGCTCCTGTGGTAATAACACCTGATTGGTCCAAACCCTTTGAAATAATGACTGATGCTAGTGACTGGGCAGTTGGTGCGGTGTTGGGTCAAAAGAGAGAAAAGTTTTTTCATCCCGTTTATTATTCAAGCAAAACTCTTAATGATGCTCAAATCAATTAAACCACTACTGAAAAGGAATTATTAGTTGTGGTCTTTGCTTTTGAAAAATTCAGATCATACTTGATGGGAACCAAGGTAATTGTTCATACTGATCACGCAGCCATCAAGTATCTTATTTCTAAAAAAGATGCAAAGCCAAGGTTAATAAGGTGGGTCTTGCTTTTGCAAGAGTTTGATTTGGAAATCATTGACAGAAAAGGGGTGGATAATCAAGTGACCGACCATCTGTCAAGATTGGAAAAACAAGACAAACCAGCGCAAAGTAGTGACATCTGTAAAGCATTTCCTGATGAAAGAATTTTGGTTCTTAATCATACTACTGTGCCTTGGTTTGCTGATCATGTTAATTACTTAGCTTGTGGGATTATTCCCAAGGAATTTAATAAGTATCAAAGAAAGAAGCTCATCTATGATTCAAAGAAATATTTATGGGATGACCCTTTCTTGTTTAAAATTTGTGCAGATCAGGTAATTAGAAGATGCATCCCAAAAGAAGAAGTACCATCAGTTCTACAGCAATGCCATGCAGGACCATGTGGAGGACATTTTGGAGAAAGTAGGACAGCATCCAAGGTTTTGCAATCAGGATTCTACTAGCCTACTTTGCACAATGATGCTCAAAACTTTGTAAAACGTTGCAATAAGTGTCAGAGGAGTGGAAATATCTCTAAAAGAAATGAAATGCCTTTAAACGGAATAATAGAAATAGAATTATTTGATGTCTGGGGTATAGACTTCATGGGACCTTTTCCCCTGTCCAATAATTGAGCCTACATATTGGTAGCTGTGGACTATGTGTCCAAATGGGTGGAAGCCATGGCTTGCCATTCCAATGATGCTAAAACAGTTGTGAAGTTTTTACAAAAGCACATATTCACTAGATTTGGTATCCCTCGTGCCTTAATTAGTGATGAAGGCACTCACTTCATAAACAACATGTTAGAAGAAGTCCTTGACAAGTATGACATCAAGCATAGGGTAGCAACTGCCTACCATCCTCGAACGAACAGATTAGCTGAATTGTCAAATAGGGAGATAAAGGGAATTTTGGCCAAAGTAGTCAAACCACATATAAAGGATTGGGCCTCTAAGTTAGATGATGCATTGTGGGCCTACCGGACTGCTTACAAAACCCCTATTGGTATGTCTCCCTATAAATTGGTCTTTGGAAAATCTTGTCATTTACCTGTGGAATTAGAGCATAAGGCCTATTGGGCCATAAAGGAACTAAACATGAGTTTAGATGAGGCCGGAAGAAAAAGGACTTTGCAGCTTTGTGAACTGGAAGAACATAAGAATTTTTCCTATGAAAATGCTAAGCTTTACAAAGAAAATACCAAAAAATGGCATGATAAAAAGATTCTTCCAAAAGAGTTCATAGAAGGCCAAAAAGTCTTGTTGTTCAATTCAAGGTTAAAATTATTTTCAGGCAAGCTAAATTCCTGATGGACCGGACCATTTGTTAAAGCCAAGGTGTACCCCTACGGAGTTATTGACTTGATAGATCCGGAGAGGCGTACCACTTTCAAAGTGAATGGACAAAGAATAAAACCTTTCTTTGATTCAATGGTTGTCACGTAACCTATTAAGGTTATCTTTCTAGAATAATAAGTGTTTGTAAATATTTAGTATTTATATATATAAGTATAAGTTGTTATTTTATTTTTCATTTTAAATTTTTACATTAAGCTTTTATTTTATTTCCT